CCTGTGTAACTGCTGGGCAGTAAAAAGTGCCAGAGGATGCCCTGAAGATCCCTGATGTTGGAAGGATCATGCTGATCAAGGATGACTTTTAAAGTTATGTTGTAACATGGGAAGGTATCCCTGGCCTAACAGAAAGTAGCACATGGGCTGAAACTCTTGTTTCACACATCCCAGTGACTTGCTTGAAAAGGTTTCTTTTACAACAAGCTTGGGATGAAGGTATGGTGGCTCTGAAAGCCTTGACTTGGAAATACAGGGTCTTGAGAACAGGTCAGAAGGAATTTCTCTTCCTCTCCCAGGCAAATTGAATTGGTTTGGGTTTGTTTCTATTATAATTATTGTTATTATTATTAATTTTCTTTCTTTCTTTTTTATTCTCCAGGCTGAATTCTGATAGTTTTTCAACATAAGAGATTGTTTTTTAAATTTGTCTTTCTTTGATGAAAACCAAAGAATTAGGGATGCATGCAAATTCTTATTTTCATTAAAACATAATTTCTCATCCAATCTCAGAAAAATAATAATAGGAATAAAACCAAAATTATGGAAAAATACATCTGAATGAATAATATAAATCTACCAGTAGTCCCAAGCATATTGGTAATTTTATTTGCTCCCCCTATAACAATGCAAATTAGGTGTCCTAGCTGTGTAGGCAATACCTCAGACCTTCCCTAGCCTGTCAAAGACAGAAAGCAGCATATATTAACTACTAGAAAAAAAAAATAAAATCCATAAAGGAATTTCTGTAATTACTTTAGGAATCTGTAGTTCAGAACTCATGTCTCTCTAACAAAATTGAAAAATGAAAAGATGCACAAGAAATTAAAAATAACTTCTTCCTGTACCATTAATTGTATATTGTGCTACATACTGTACATTAATTTTTATAGTGAGGGATTTCAGTCAGTAAGACAGAATAAATTATATTTTTATATAATTGCATTTTATGTGTATATACTTATAAAATTTTATATAATTTGTCCATTTTTCCAGAAGGGAATTAGGAATAAGACTAAGGCTCTATTTAATAAAGGATGTAGCTAGGTATTAAGATTCCAGATGCAGGAAAAAGCAGCTTGACTCCCTGTGAAATATCTGGACAAAAATTCAGCTCTTTACAGTAGAAGCATGTGAATTCATCTCTTTACAGTAGAAACAATTTTAATGTAAAAATGAGCTCTGACCCTCTGGAGGGTTTTGTCCTCTTGGTCCCAAGCTGGAATTTCTTCTGAAGGTAGGCACCTGCGCCTGCTGTGCCAAAATTGGAGAGGGGACTAGACCACAAACTGGTGGAGCCCCCAGCCTGTCCTTCATAGCCTTGGCTGGACTTCTGGCTGGAGGAATGAGAGACTTGGCCTCGCTTTTGTCCACAGTCAAATGACATGGTATTGAAATGGAACTCTGTCATGAAGTGTATCCTGTAGCATACATTCATGATACAGCTGACCCTGGTGGAGTGAGTGGTCCAAACAATTTGGGCAGAAAGATATACCCTTTCTGGTGCGTGACCCAGCATGGCAGGCACTGTGCGGGCTGGCCTTCCCCTTCCTGCCCCCCTGCAGGCCACAAAGGCACGCAGAGCAGAATGAAGAGTTCATGGAATGTGGGTGCCACAGAGCTAGGCAGCTGCTGGCAAAGGGTTTTCAGGCTTACTGCTGTAAATGTCCTTCAGATTGCCCTGAACTGCCACATTGAGGATCTGGGCCAAATTCCCTGCCCTAAAGGAAAAAAAAAGCAACCCTCAGGGGCACGTTCACAGGCACTCAGCAAGTCCACAGCAACATCCAAGATCCACAGCTCTGTGCTCACTGTCCTGCAATTCCTGCTTCTCTTCCTGGACACCCAACATCAACATTGAGCCTTGGGTCTTGAAATTTAAGATAGAATGCCCAGAATCCATACAATTGAAAACATATATAAATGTACAATGGGAGCAGAAATACTAAAACACAGCTATTCAATAGATTAAGCAACACCATCCTCAGCTGGTGTACACTGACATAAACATTTACACCAGTTAAGGGTTAGCAGGATTTGTGTGTTTGTTTGTTTTGTTTTCTGAGAAAGAAACTACATCTGAATAACAATTGAGTTAGCTTAAATCTAACAGACTTGATAGTGGTTCTATTTTTAAAGTGGCTTGTAATTTTGCTTGTGAATTTGATGTGATGCAATGGGAGATAGAACAATTATGTCTAAGACATGCACATGCTACATACACACAATGTACACATGTATTAACATATCTCCATTTTCTTCATTCACCACAAATTAAAGTGACAAGCTAGATGTTAGTCCTTTCCAAATTAATTCTGTCTGAATTGCATTAGTGTCATCCTCACTATATACCAGTAACCGCTAGGCTATAAAATTTATGATATAACATTCAGAATTAATCTGCAAATATATACTAATTCACACTGACCTTTTTTCAAGCTGAGGCCTTTTTAGCACTCACAGTAGGTTTAACATTGCCCTACTGAGTGTTATTACGAAGCAGTCAATGGTTGTCCATAATTACATCATGCAAATGACATTTGCTTTTTTGTTTGAGCTTATTCCCTCCGATGTTTCCTTCTTTTATCACACTCCTCACACATCTGTGTCCCTGAAATGGCACTGCAAACTCCTCCTCTTTTGGTCCCCAAGTTCCTTTCTCTGTCGTCCCTGACTGTCATGCAGCCGCCGGCGGCAGTTTGGGCTGGTGCGGCTGTGACATCTCCCTCTGACATAGGTTATGTTGCCAGCTGGTTGGAACAGGTGTACACTGATTTTACCATCAAATGGCAACACACTCTTGGCTTCCTACCAGCGCACAGGCATGAAAAACCTGTTCCCTTAAAATTTCTTCTGAGATTGATGGGTTCTTCTCTGACACGGCATCCAGCGACAATTTCAATTCCCAGATTGTTTCTTGCTGCTGAGGCCCATTCAACAATAGCAACAATAAAAAGTCACCGAGAAGTTCCTATTAGAGGAGACAAATTACTCAGCCTTCTCCTCTCTTTCTTCAGCAAAATAAAAGACAACTTCAGCTGGAGCAGCGCGAATATCCAACTGCTTGCAAAACAACACCTCATGCCAAATGCTTGACTTTTAGAAAAGAATTGGTGCAAATGGTGAGGCAACAATTCATAAAATCCACCTCAAAACAGCAAAGACAATAACCATGGTATTTAATATCAAACTCCAATATTCATCAAATTAAAAACAAACAAACAAACAAAAAAACAAACAACAAAAAACAACATGCATCAAAATTTGTATCTGTCACGGCTGTGTCCTGCAAGCCCTATTAGTGAAAATGCAACAAAGTTGGTAATATAATTCAGAGACAGCATGTACCAGCTGCTGGTCTTCATCTTCCCAGTGTCACCACAGTGGCAGTGCACTTGTGGAAGTACAGGGATCTGCTCTGCTCTAATGCACATTTCTGAAGCTGAGATCATCTTTTTATTCTGTTCCCAGAGTAATAAGTAATGCTCTGATTAATTCTGCAATAGAAAATAATCTAATACTAAAAATATCTCAACTTCCATTAAACCAATTCTGCACTCTTTAAAAATCCAAGGCAATTATGCTAGTTTATATCTGACAATATGTCTTGATTTGTGAATACTTTGGGAGACCCTCATTCTTCACAGTTGAAAAATTACTCCTTCCATTAGAAGCCATTCCTTATATTATCTTGTTAGGGCAACCCACAGTAAACATTGGATAGGAAAGCAGACTTTATAATGACAACTGATCAGAAGGTCAATGGCTGCAAGTCACAACTATAGTAATCGAGTTAGAAAGACAATGTTATTTTAGTCTAAAACCAGCTGAAAAGCAGAAGAGCTGGAGGGAAATAGTGCATTGCTCTGCTGCTCCATTTCTTAATATTTATTTTCCTACCAGGTTAATTTTTAAATTCTTTTTCCACAGCTGCTTTTAAAGTGATTTTTTTTTTTTTTTTCCCCCAGGGAAACTCCACACATCTTATTCCTAACAAAATGCCGATTAAATAAAATTGCCTGACAATGCATTAATTAGAACTATAAAGAGACTTCCTTAAAATGCTTTTATATTAAGAAAAAGTGTGTTTGTTTGTATGAAGTATTTAAGCCTCTGTACTGATACAAAGCATAATAGGCTGGTGCCATGGTAACTACCGTGTTGTTTTTTTAATTGAACAGCTGACTTTCAGCGGTGAGAATACCTCCCTACTTACTTGTTTTCTATAATGCACCAAGGCTCTGTCCCAAGGAAAAACAATGAGATAGGAGCTATTAGCTCGTGATGACCTGAAAACTATGTTTTGTTGATAAAGTGCAGTTCTCATAGAAAAGCTCTGCAAAACCTGCAAAAGCAGACACATAACCTTCTTCAGTAACTTGATTTGAAATTACCTTGCAATTGCTTTTTTTTTTTTTTTTTTTGGTGTCTGATAATGAGGACAGGGGGTGTTTGAAAGAATTCATTATGTCCATATACAACCTAGTATAGGAAAAGACCTACATATTATTACATGTTATGTACAATTGTACCACAAAGAAGACTTTTTCCTCCAAATGGTTAATTGGGATGCAATACTGGTTATTTTAAGCTTTACAAAAGAGTTCTATACATAATAGAGTGGCTGTTTCGTGCAGCTCCTATGATAAAATTCTCACCAGTCTTAAAATGACAGATGTAATATTACCTTTAATAAGTGTCTACCGATGCATGCAAATTGAATTAAATAGTGGGAGTACAAATTTGTCCGATAATTAAGATAAAAATTCATGTCAGCTTAAGCCCTGGTGTATATTAGTAACCCTGTATACTTCTTTTTCTGCGTTCTCTACCAATTACTTTTAGAGTCGAACTCTTGATTACTGTAATATCTAGTCCTTTAAAAATTTAAAAATGATATATAGAATGTATTAAACAAACAATAGACTTCTTTTTCATGCACCTTCAATGCAAACAAATTATACCTATAACTTCAAAAATCAGAGAGCCTTACAAATTGCTCAAAGTTCAAAATACCCCACATTTTAATACATTCTAACACAATGTAATAGAAATGTGATATAATAAGTTTAGATGTACAATAACAAGTACAGAGAACAGCAAACAATTTCTCCAGCCTCTGAAATGAACACTTTTTAAAAGAAAGGTCTCTGTTTCATGTCAGAGCAAAATTTTTCCACAAGCCCGAGTTTTCCACAAGCCAGTTATGAAATTCAGTCATTGGACTTTCTTGTTAGTCTCTGTTTGAAGACATATTTGGAACTGGAAATTCAACATTTTTATAGTTAAGGAACTCATCTAGGACATGAAACAGACAGCTCAGGTGCTTGAAACTGGATTTAAACACTTGTAAATGTCCAAAGTAGTGAGTTGCTCTTGGATAATATGGATAATATCTTGCATGCTCTCATTTTTGACCTGAGATGCTTTCTTGGATGTGACACACCTTATAAAAATGTTATTTCAACTGCTACACCCCCATGTTAAATTTCAATTATGATAAACTGTTGTTTTTTTTTTTAAATCCAAAACCCATAAAATATGTAGAAAAAAAAAAAAAAAATCCTATCAACTCTTGGCATAAATGTTTGCACTAAAATAAGAATTTACATTGTTTCAGGTTTCACTTTAAACCAGAAGCTTCTCATCAAAATTATCTCTGCATTAGGAATATCCTTAAAACCAGACCTTGGGGTCATTTGAAGCTAATCATTACACCGTGGAGGGGAATTTTTTATGACATCCATAGTAAACTTTAAGGTAAAGAATTCAAACTCAGAACACCAAAAGCCTGATACATATTTTGGAAATGAGATAAAATTGGAACTTTGTCCTGAAACACCCCAGTTTTTTTTTTTTTTTTTTTTTTTTTTTTTTTTTTTTTTTTTTGTGAGGATCTGTAACTGAGGTTCTCAGGTCTCATTGTCAGTAATACTCAGGGCTCAATTCTGGAGAAAAAACCCTGATTGCTCTGCTGCGAGGTGTCCAAGAAGTTAGCCCATTGGTTGGGCCCAGACCATGGGAGTCTCCTGAAATTGTCTCCTTCCACATATTGCATTATTTGAGTGCCAAATATAAGTACAGCTCTCTCCAGATCTTGGATTCCAAAACGTTTTTACAATTTGTATTAGTGCTTCTTTAACACAGACTAGAAGAAGACAGTGCTTTTGATACCCTTGGGATGCATTTACTCTTGATTTTGATGCTTGTGTTGAAGGCTTATATCTGGGCTCAAAATAGTGCAGCCTGCATGGTGCTGAATGCAGAGCACCTACAAGCTTCAGCTGTGATGTTCAACCACAGGCATGTTTTTTCCTCCAGAAACCTGCCCTGCTGAAATCCCTGACTGTGCTCCTGGATGTACCCTGGCTATTGCTCTGCCCACCTGTAAAATGGAGATAATGACACTACACTAGCTTACAGGGATTTTGTGAGGATAAATACATTAAATACATTAAAGGTGCTCAAATACTACAGCAATAGGAGCCATATGAACAAGCTTTGTTTAAACTTCGTTTAAACTCGTGCATGTTAATAACAGTGTTCATTCCATCTCTGCTACAACACCATACCTGGCAATATTTTAAGCATTTATATAGAGTTATACCTTATAATGAGTGAGATTACATAGCTGAATGGACTGGAAAGCCAAGATTGTCCTCATAGAACGAATAACACTGCGGCTGTCATTAATCCTCACCTCCCTTCCCCACCACACCCTGGGCAGGGCTAGATTTGGCAGTGCCTCCCCAGCCCTCACATCTACCTTAAAAGAGCAGGATCCATACCTGGCAGAAATGGATGCAACTCCAGCTAAAAATCTGGACTGCCCTTATCTAAACCAAGATAAGACGTTGCCCTTGGGATTTCAATATAGTGGAGAGGGAAGCATAACATCCTGTGCTGAGACCTCTTCTTAAAAGGAAGTTTTCCTGGAGTTTACAAGGATTTGTACTGGAAGGAGTATTCAAAAACATTCCTGAAAATGCCCAAATACTGTTTTCTTAGTTTTTTTGACAGTAAAGAACATTTCTTTTTTTTTTTTTTCTTTCTTGGTATATAGGTAAAATAAATCATAAAATCATCAAATGACAGACAGAATGGTTTGAGGTTTTCTCAAATGAGAGAAGCAACTTGGGATTTATCACTAACCACACCGTCAAAAGGCAGCTCAAGTTTTACTTTAAACCTTGAAATCTTGTGAGGAGTTTCAGGCTAAGTCGCTATAGCCTGTCCAAGCTTATTATGGCTTTATAATATGACAATCAGTGCTTTGGGTAGGTGTTGCAGTAAGAAAACACAGAAACAGTTCCACTGCTACCATACCAGCAGTAGCTGGATATGAATGTCTAAATTAATGCAGTCTCCTGGTGCTTCTTGCCATCAGCGTAGATACAGTCAGATGTTCTGTGAATTTGCTTGGCCATCCATTGGCTCTGTGGAAAGATCTCAGGGAAAGAGGTTTGTTAAGATAAACAGCAACAGAACAAGAGCACAACAAGCCATAAAGACCCCTGTAATTGACAACTGCAGCAGGCATCGTGGATAGTTTCCTAAAACAGAAGGAACTACAGCCATCATCTTACCCAAGGGCTGAAGTAACAGCACATTCTGGAGTTTATTCTACACTTTCCTGAAAAAAAGACAGTAAAATACCTTTCCTGGGGCAATGTCCTTCTGTTCAGCATTTCTATAAGCAGCTACACTTGGAAATGTGTGAAAGCGTTACTTTCTCTGAAAAATAACACCACATGGAAGGAGAGACGCTTTCAGGCTGGTTGAGTTCAGAGGGGCTGAGTTTTTCCCTTCCTAGCCTACATGAGGTATAAATTCTCTGGAAGGAGCAGCCCTGTGCTGTTACTGGTGTTCTGCATTGCATTTCCCCAACTGTAGCAGAAGCCCTAGCTAATTACACCCATGATGAATTTGTCCTCTCTGCTATAGACATTACTAAGGAGTGTTTATTACAAATTGGTGCATGATGGTGTCTTCTCTGTAACCCTCACAGCTATGCCCCATAAAATGTGAGTTGATGACAAGGATCAGCCTAAGATTTAACATCCTCGTCTTTGCTGGGCTTCTTGCCATTTTTTTGAATGTAGTGTGGTTGGTAAGTTAATATACGCAGCTATTCAGAACTATAAATGAGTATTTATCCTGTAGCCTGCTAGGAAGGTTCAAACTATATCAGAAATGAGGGTATAGTGAGAAAAAGGGCTAACTGTGTTTTTTAATTTGTCAATAATGATTTTAGACCATGACCCTTAATAGGACACTGTCACTTGTGCCATGATTTATGCCTAGTGTGATGACATCAGTACCAATACTGCTGATAAAAGAACACTTATATTGAAGCAAACAGGATGATGAATGGAGTACAAGTCTACTTACTCATTTCATTACTGACTCTTCTGTTCACCACAGAGCTAATGTAGCGAGTCATTGTCTGCCTTGGGAGTATTTTGCAGGTTGAATTTAATGGCACAAGTGTGTGATATGTACTTCAGTCCTGGTGTTTGAAATGGCACAATCATAATTAGAAATACATGTGCGTTGGATATTTTACATATCAAACAGAAAATAACTTTACACTAATTTTTAAGTAGAAAACAGCTAGAATGTACTTTTTTTTTTTGCAGAATTTCCAAGGTTTATGAGTGCGTTTAATTCCCCAACAAGTTAAATATCTGTGTACGTTTTATAAAGTGGACAAAAATAGCAAGTAACATTACCAGCATATTTAAGTATGACACATGCTTGTGAGGGTGCATAATGTCTTTTTTTTTTTTTTTTTAAGGTTTCCATTGCAAATGCAAAGTATTTATATATGGCCATATTAAAGAAAGTTTTCATTAACAAACATTTGATACTGAAGCCTTTGCTGAAGTAAACAATGTAAATGTTAACATTAACCTTAATCAGACCTACTTCTTAAGATATAACTACTATACTAATGAAAGAGTCTGGCTGCATAATCAGGAGAGCAAAGAAATCCCCTAGGACTCTTCAAGCTGTGTGTATGTCACCAATAATTCCGCTAACCCTTGAGTGCTAGTGACTTTGAATGTAGAGAAGGGGAGGTAAATGCAGTTTTATTAGTGCAGTTTTATTGCTATGGCCAGCTGCACTCTTTTCTCTATAAAAGGTAATTACTTCCAATAGTAACAAGCTAATTGATTGCTAATTAAATCAATTGGCACACTAACCACTGTCAGAAAGTGACAGATTAGCTGGTCACATGACAGTGTGTTAGTAATGAAAAGTGGACATGGTCTGAGTGTGATTGACACAGCAGATGAAAAGTGATTTGGGATCTCCTAGGTGGTCATGAAGAGGGCATGGAAAACATGATTGATTCAATGGTGACTGTCAGGGAGGAAATGAGAATTGAATGGGATTCAGTGTTGCCCTGGAACTTCACCACATGATGCTCCAAGTTTTTTCACATGTAAATAAGCTAGACAGGGCTTTCTGGCAAATGAAAGGCAGGATGGGGGAGGCAAATAGGTGGAACAGAAAGTGAAAGTCAAATCAACAAGACTTATTTAGAACCTTTGGCATGTTTCTGTAAAATGGAAATGAAAGCAAAATTTTTTAATGGGTATAAACTTGTGAGCATCAGCTTTTCAGTGGTTAAAGATACATCCTAGTGTGTTATTTTCATTAATTGTGAAAGTTTATGGATCCGTTTTGGAAGGCCTTTGCAACAAAAATAAAAATAGCCCATTGCCTTGATTTACAAAGACTCTATACACTTTATAAAAACAAAAAAACAAAAACAAAACAGACAACAAGGAGGGAAATTGCACTGAAAAGCAGGTATAGAGTTGCCTATCTCTAAGTATATATGTGTATATATTTTAACAAAAATATAGCAAGCTCAGTCAAAAAAATATTTCCTGATGATTAAAAGCTAAAATTTAATATTTAAGATGCCTTTATTTCCAAGTATCAGTATTTTAAATCAGTAAATATTAATATATCAAAAATCCATTTTTTTTTTTTTTAAAGCAAGAATGGGAAAACATTGCTTCCATGCTTGCTATATAGTTATTGCCATCAAGACTTCAGTAAGAGTTCCTGAGAGACTAAATTTTTAATTTGGTCTTTGAATAAGAAGTACTTAGTTAACATCAGCATTTCCTAACAAATGCTGACATTTCACTGTAGCTGTCAAGGTACTATCCAAGTGTGTTTAAAATAGAGACTATTCTTGCTGTATTCTTAACATTTAAGATGGTATAAACCAGGGCTTGTGTGCTTTGTTCATTTCTGAAGAGAATTGGTGCCATTCAGGAAGAGCATTGTTTCGCATTGTACTCAAGCCAGCAATTTCTTGGAGAGATTCCTATGAGCAGAGCCCAGGCTGGTATCCTCATGCAATGTGTGTGCACGTACTGATTAAAACCCAGTATTTTTTAAGGAAATGGGACTTCTGGCCTCATCCTTATTTCCGTACTGCCTCATCCAACTGCTCTCAAAAGCCTCTAGTAAGCACTGATTATACTTTCTGTGATAGAGAACATAATTCTATAATTCTGAAGACACACCTCTTTCCAATCACCGACCAGCTTGTGAAGTCACTCAAGAAGGCCATTAATGGGTAGGAAAAGACAGGTACACCACCTACAGTCTTTCATTTTGGCAAACCAATATGGGAATACGCAGGTAAGGTTCTGTGCCATAGTTTTTGGCCAACTGTTCAACAGTGCAAATCAACATAGTCTTGCTGAGGCAAGTACTGAGACTCAAATCTTTGACAGGTTAAAAGGCAAAGTGCACATTTTTTCTGTTGCTCTTAACTCCTGTTAAGTCTCCTCTGCATGCTACACTGTCATCAGCTTCCTGCATCATTGTGTTTTTGCTTGCTTTTTCTGTTTTTGAATGTTTGTGAACTGGCATCTCATCTTACACATAAGTGCCACCCAAAATGCAGGGAAGGAGGACCTTCATTCATGATAATTTGAATTCGTTAATCCAAATAAACACAAACTTCTCATTAACATCATAAACACAAACATTCCTCACTCAGACATGAAAATTAAAGGGCAGGGAAAAAACTGGAAAGATTCCTACCCATACAAATTACTCTCACACTTTAATGTTATGCTGGAATCCAAGAGTTCTTATGTAAAATTGTGCTGCAGCCTTTGCAGACCAATAAATACCACCCCTAGTTAGGTAAAACACACATTATGTGAATATAACGGTATTTTGCCAGAACATATTACAGGGCCATTGCTTTCTCTATAAATTTCCTGTTTAATATCAGTTTATAAATTCTGAAGGATCTTCCCTGTGAAGAAACTTTCTGGTGGAATAAGTTTAACTGGCATAATTATTTCCTGATATTAACTTTTTCAAGGGTGTCAATTCTTGCTTTCATAAATTTTGTTTGCACTTTCACGTGTCTGCTTTTTTAACCACTTCTTAATAGACAGCTAACACAAATGAAGACAAAGTTCACGCAAACAAGCTATTAATTGTATTAATGCAAGCAAGGTATTCATTTTTCAAATAATATTGATTATGCAGCTTTTTATCTTCTATTTTCAGCCAAGTATTTTAGATCTGCTGTATAAACATGAACAGACATTATATTCAGGTATATCTTGTCAGTTATCTTTTTGGTGAACCAAAACCTAGAACTTATGACATTTTACTGGTAAAGAAAATACATGCAAGCATTTTGGAAGAAAATTTCAAGCCAGGCTAACTTCTAAACATGGTAGCTGTCAGTAATGAATTGTAAAAATATTCTCCTGTTAAATAGCAAGGTATTAAAAGATGTACTGACAGTTCCACGGAACGCATTAGAACATATAAATCAACCTCATAACAAACATTTTTGTCTGTTAAGATGAAGTGCTAAACTTTATTTTCTTATAACAACTTCCTTCTACCTGATCATGACATAGGGGAGATGAAATTATCACTGCATTCTGGACCTGGCCTTCCAGGACACCTCAAATCCAGAATAAGAAAATAATTTGCTTTATTCTTACCTCAAATAACACAAACTTATGAGTTGGGTCACACCAAGCTGTGACTAGTGACTGCAGGGAAAGGTCCTTTTAATGTGTTTTATATCTTTTGATCTTATCCATTAAATTGCCATCCTTACTCTTGAATGTGTGTTTGAAACCGTACATGTAAGCATGGATCACAAGGCACACGGCAGGTGTCTTGGCAGTCTGAAGGGAATGGTGTTGGTGGAGGTCTGGGAGGAAGTTCACAGGCAAGAATTCCTCCAAAACAACAGCTTGAAAAACAAATTTTATTTATTTTTTAAAGGTGTTTGCAAACTGACTTGATTTTAGGAGCTTTATGTTGGGTTCCAGCAATCAAGTTACAATTTTGCAAACAAAAATTTTTCATGTAGTTTGGAAGAAAACTCATGTTTTTTGATACTCAGTCCATTGTTTAAGATAATCTTTCCTCATGACTA